ATATATATATATATATATATATATGGATTTAATCAAACGTAATTGAAACGTCTGTCTAATATATCTAATAATTGGTTCGTTTACCGTCGTTTGATAATCGCTTATTAATATATTGAAAATTTTTGTATTAAGCTTTTGTATTTACAGTGCAATACGGGGGCGGAATTGTAAATGTTGCGCAAGAAAATAGTAAACAGAAGGACGGCAGCAACAACGAGCGCAGCGACGTCGAACGTTTCACCGGCAGCACCAGTGCTACTCCCGCCACCCCCGACAGTGTTGCCGATGACGAGAGAAGCGAACAGATCGGTGAAAATAATAATAATAATTATACNTGTATTGTATTACGGACGGAAAACGCGCGTAGATTTAAGAAATTCGGGGTAATAAGGAGAGAGGCGATATTTGAGATCCGTGAAATTCAGCCTGGTGCTGAAATAGTAGAATGGGTGGAGGGTGCATTTCGCGAAATTCACAGATACGCGACAAATTTATCGGAGCCGAATGATTACGTTGGAGTGTGGTTCGACTCCGCGACTTTGACCAACGGTGCAGCGGGTCTTTCTTTTCGTCCTGCGCGTGACTTGACTCACGAGAATATTTGGTCTCTCGTGAGTTCGGTTGCGCAAAGTAACGGAGGGATAGACATCGCTACGTCGTTTACAATACGCGTATGCACCGTCCACTCTCTGCCGGGCAAAGGAGGCCGTCCTTTGGGCGCGGAAGGAATCGAGAAATGCTCGATTCTTTCAATAACAAATAGCGGCAACCTCTGTTTCTCTCGCTCACTCGTTGCCGCTCGGGTATACCTCGAACGAGGTAACACCCGCACGGGCGAGCTACATGAGCGATGGAATGCAATGAGACGTTCGAACTCCTCCTTACAACGCCAATGGGCACAGGAGTTGGTGGAGAGAGCAGGCGTCACAATTCCAGAGGAGGGCTGTGGTATTGGGGAAATTAAGCGATTTCAACGGTACCTTGCCGGGGAGGGGNTAGCTATAATTGTTTACGCCTCGTCTACTTTCGCGAAAGGCGGAAAACTGTTGTATGACGGTGGTGCGTTGCTTGCCTCTCTCGGACGCGAATCCTTGCTACGNTTAAATATTCTTTATTGCGAGGGTTCGCGTCACTATTGCCCGATTTTAAATTTAAGAGCGGCGGCGGGGAGCAGGGGATATTGCATTCCTTGCAATCTGCCTTATCCTCCCGAACGAGGAGTTCATCGATGCTCGCCATAGATGCCAGATCGTGCAGGACAGCAACGAGAGCAGCGAAAGGCAGAGCCCCCACCGCTCAGCTTCTCGATGCTACGCACACAAGCGAGAACCGCGTACGTGTGCGTGACGTCACGCTCGGCTGTGAAAGAGTGCAGGCATATTATTTTCTGTCTCCTTTCTACCAAGCCGGCCACAAGGCAACGCACGTTGCATATGACAACGCTTTTCGAAACTTAGGCTGCGTTCCGATATTTACTGCCAGTGCTGACAATCTATAGCACATGTGACGTGAAGATATAGATTTTTTTAAGTACTGGCAATAAATATCGAAACGCAGCTTCGTAATCTTTTAAAAAGATATGATATTATTGATACAAATAAACCATCTCAATATATACATTACATATTTTCTTTGTATAAATTATTACTATGATATTTAACAGTAAGAAAAAGATTTTAGAATATTAACAGAGGAATAAATAAAGAAACATACAAATATATACATATATACATATACATAGTATATACATAGTATATTAATATTTGTTTGTATATATATATTGTATATATACATATGTATATTTGTGTATATATATGTATATATTTGTTAACAAAACTATATACATAATATGTAATTGAACTTATTATATGTATAATAAGTTATACATATAACCGAGCGTGACGTCACGCACACGTACGCGGTTCTCGCTTGTGTGCGTAGCATCGAGAAGCTGAGCGGTGGGGGCTCTGCCCCTCGCTGCTCTCGTTGCTGTCCTGCACGATCTGGCATCTATGATGCTCGCATAAATGTCCACGTTGTCGCGGTGTGCCGTCGTGCGAAACAGAAGAAGTAGAATTAATTCGATGTGAGCAATGTAAAATAATGTTTTACGGGCGCGAGTGTTTCGAGCGTCACCGAGCCGAAAAATCGTACGGAGACGGTCGCGTGAGCGTGTGCAGCGCCTTGCAATTTTGTGACGATTGCAGGCGTTTGTACAGAACAGCGGGTGCGAGGCACGAATGCGGCGTCGTGTTTTGTAACATTTGCAGTTCGCGTCAAGATGTAAACCATCTTTGTTATATCCGACCTTTTACACGCGAGGATTTCACCGGCAAAGGGAAAAACGCGCGCGTCGCATTCGTGTTCTATGATTTCGAGACTCGGCAGGATGAGACGCTCGAAGGTACAGCGTCTGTGAAAATTCACGTGCCCACTCTTTGCGTCGCACAGCAGATTTGCGTCGCGTGTGCGGGCGAGGACGACATGACGGTACGTTGCCGGTGGTGCGGTGTGCACGAATTCGTGTTCCGCGATGATCCGGTGAGGCAATTCGTCGATTTTGTTACGAGAACGACGAAATGTTTCAAGCAGATTATCTGCATCGCGCACAACGCCAAGGCGTTCGACGCGCAGTTCATCCTTTGTTACATCACGGAAAAACGTGTCGATTTGAATCCACGAGTAATATTAAACGGGACGAAGATCGTCGTATTAACGGCCGGGCGTGCGAAATTTATTGACAGTATCAACTATATGCTGATGCGTTTGTCAGCTCTGCCGAAGGCTTTCGGTTTGCGGGGTGGGGTGGAAAAGGGATATTTTCTGCATTTATTTAACACACTCGCGAATCAGTCGTACGTCGGTCCGTTACCAGCCGTTGAATATTACTCGCCGGATAGTATGTCTAGCGAAGAACGCGAACGTTTTTTGTCGTGTCACGCGGAACAGATGCGCGAAAACGCAGTTTTTAACTTTCAACGCGAGATAGTTCGTTATTGTCGTAACGACGTTGATATCTTGCGGCGAGCGTGTATGGCCTTCCGCAAAATATTTCTCGAGCGCGGAAACGTATGTCCGTTCGAAGAATGCACGACCATCGCTTTCACATGTATGCGCGTTTTCCGCAAAAACTTTTTACGTGAGGAAGAGATCGGCGTCATTCCTCGCGGCGAATATCGCCTCGTGGATACGCAATCCCGCAAAGCTCTGCAGTGGCTGGTGTGGAAAGAGCGCGAGCTCGGCCGCATCATTGTTCACGCGGGTCACGGGAACATCGTCTCGCGGAAGTCGGAGGCATTCCCGTCGACGGGTATTACGAGACGGCGAACGGTGAGCGTCACGTGTTGCAATACCACGGCTGCTTTTGGCACGGATGTCCCGTGTGTTTTAAAACGGAACGCGACAAACGTCTCTGCACGGGGGAACGCGAAGTGTACGACACGATGAACTCGCGATACGAGCGTACACTGACAACGTCATGACGTCTTCGCAAACGAGAGTACATTGTGACGGAGAAATGGGAGTGCGCGTTTGATCACAATACGCGGGAAAATCGCAAAATGCGAGCGTTTTTAGTCCAACTTCCGATGCTCGCGGCTGAACCGCTTTCACCGCGTGACGCGTTTTTCGGCGATCGAACGGGAAACATCGCGATTCGGCGCGAAGTTACGGGTACGGAGAAAATACGTTACGTAGACGTGTGTTCTCTATACCCTTACGTGTTGAAAACCGGCGCTTTCCCGATTAGACATCCGAAAATTCTTGTCGGACAAAAAGAGTGCGCCTCGCTCATCGGAGCGATGCCCGGTGTCAATTTTTCCGCGGTCGAGGGGCTTGTGCGTTGTAGAGTGCTCCCTCCGCGCAATCTCTTTCACCNTGTACTCCCGTACCGCGTGCAGGGCAAACTGTTGTTTGCCTTGTGCCGCAGTTGCTGCGAAAACTTCTCGCAAACACAGTGCTCGCACAAAAATCCGCGCGATCGCGAATTCGAAGGCGTGTGGGTATCGTGTGAATTACGCAAAGTTGTGGAAAAGGGTTATCTCGTGACTGCAGTGAGCGAAATATGGCAATACGAGACGAGCCGATACGACGTTGATACGCGTCAGGGGGGATTATTTGCCGAATACATAAACTGTTTTCTGAAATTGAAGCAAGAGGCGAGCGGATGGCCGAGCGAATGCGTGGACGACCAATCTAAAGAACGATATCTTCAAGAATACAAAGCAATCGAGGGAATCGCTCTAGATAGAGCAAACATTGCGCAAAATCCGGGTTTACGCTCGGTCGCAAAGCTGTGCTTCAATTCGTTTTGGGGAAAATTCGGGCAACAATCGAACTTGACGAGTACCGAGGTGGTAAAGTCGCAGGAACGTCTCGTATCGCTATTGTCGAGCCCCGAGCACGAGGTAACCGATATATTACCTGTGAATGACAAGGTAATATATGTTTCGTGGCGAATGCGGGACGAGGCGGACGTACCCTCTCCAATTACTAATGTGATAATAGCGGCGTACACGACGGCACAGGCGCGATTGAAACTGTACGAATGTTTAGAACGTTTAGGCGAGCGCGTTCTTTATTACGATACAGATTCGTGTATTTATGTGAGCAGCGGAGAACCCGGCGACTACGAGCCGCGTACGGGAAATTTCCTGGGCGATATGACGGACGAGCTCGAAGGCTACGGCCGTGGTAGTTACATCGAGTTGTTTGTATCCGGTGGCCCGAAATTTTACGCGTACGTAGTTCGTACTCCGGACGGTGGCGCGCGGGAGGTGTGTAAAATTAAGAGAATAACTCTCACAAT